TGCTGCTGCTAGAGGATGATAGGCTTTGCTGCAGTGCCTTCTGTTGTGTGTGCTGAGGTCACAGCAGCAGGAGCTGCAGTGGCAGCAGCAGCAGCTGCTGCATCCGTTGTTTGTTTGCTGCTGCTGCTGCTGCTGCTGCTGCTGTTTGCTTCGTGAAGAATAAACTCATAGGCAACGAGAGCATCAGCAGGAGCAGCAGCACCAGCAGCAAGAAGACACATATCCTGCAGCAGCTGTCGTATACGGGGCCCCCTGAATGCCTGCAGGCAGTGCAGCAGCAGCTGCTGCTGCATGGGTTCTAGCTGCTGCAGCGGTGACCGCTTGCTGCTGCTGCCGCTCCCGCCCCCGCTCCCGCCCCCGCTCCCGCTGCTGCTGCTGCTGCTGCTGCTGCTGCTGCGCAGCCAGGAGGAAACACACAGCAGCAAAGTGTTGTTATAGAGATCCCCCCACCGAGCAAAAAGCTTCCACAGCACGCCCAGTGTCTCGACACCCCAGACCCCCAGGGAGCTGAGGAGAGCTGGCAGCAGGTGCTGCAGCTGTCTCTCCATCTGCTGCTGCTGCTGCTGCTGCTTCGGGCAGCAGCAGCAGCAAATGTGTAAATAACTTAAACACTTCTTTGCCACCTCTGCGTCGTCGCCACGCAGTATGTGTGCACACAGCAGCAACGAATCCTCATACGTCTGGCTACCGAAAAAACTCACTTCCTCCTGCTGCTGCTGCTGCTGCTGCTGCTGCTGCTGCTGCTGCTGCTGCTGTTGCTGCTGCTGCTGGCCGGAGGCAGAGGCCAGGGCAGAGAGAAACTCAAGAAGGGGGATGTATGCGTCTGTGCTGTCTGGTGGTAGATGCCTGCTGAGGTGTATGTACACCTCAACAGCAGCAGCAGCATCCGTAGCAACCCGTCGCCGCACTAGCTGCTGCAGCGGGGCGTTTGCTGCTGCTATCCGCAGCAGATCAGACAGCAGCACGACGCAGCAGCCCTGCAGCGCGACAGATGCTGCAACAGCACTCTCATGCTGCCGCTGCTGGTGTTTCTGCTGTATCTGCTGCTGCTGCTGCTGCTGCTGTTGCTGCTGCTGCTGCAGCTGCTGCAGCGCAGCAGCAGCAGCAGCAAGACAAGACTCCACCATCGCTATCACAGCACCCCACATATCCTGGGCTTCCTCTCGGCAACCCAAGACAGCCAGCAGCAGCCGCAGACAGCGGAGAGCACGAACGAAGAGCGCGCCCCCTGTCTCTGTCTCCTGCTGCTGCTGCTGCTGCAGCTGCTGCTGCTGCTGCTGTTGCTGCTGCTGCTGCTCGTAGTGGTTGTAGTAGTACAGCTCAGGCTTCTGCTGCGGCTGCTGACGCGGCTTCAACTCCAGCAGCAAAGAGAAAGACAGACGCTCACCACCAACGAATGCACGGGGTGCTGCTGCTGCTGCATGCAGCAGCACATCTAGGATTAGCTGCAGCAGATACACCCACAACGGAGTGTTCTCCTCTCCCATCTCCTGCTGCTGCTGCTGCTGCTGCTGCTGCTGCTGCTGCTGCAGAGAGCAGCCCGCCCCATGCTCCTCCAGGAATGCCTGCTGCTCCTTCGGAGACCGCAGCAGCAGCAGCACGAGACAGTCACTAGCAGAGTTGGTTTCGCTGCTGCCAGCAGCAGCAGCAGAAGCTGCTGCTGCTGCTGCTGCTGCTGGGCCCCTTGATACCTCTACCTTCCCCGAGTAAAGAGCAGCAGCGCAGCAGTCTAGCCTAGCGAGCAGCCTGGCAGCTTGCTGCTGCCTGCTGACGCCGCTGTTGCTGCTGCTGCTGCTGCTGCTGCTGCTGCTGCTGCTGCTGCGGCTGCTGCGGATGCCCTGGGCTGTCTGCTGCAGCAGCTGACAAAAGAGAGACATCATATCGATGGGGGGGAAGTGCTGCAGCAGCTTAACGACAGCAGCATGGAGGGTCCCGTCTACCTGCGGTTGCTGCTGCGGTGCAGCAGCAGCAACAAACTGATAGAACTGCTGCAGCTGCTCCAGCCTCCGACTCGCCAAGAGAGCTGGGTCTGTCTCTGCTGCTGCAGCTGCTGCTGCTGCTGCTGCAGCATCAGCAGCAGCAGCAACTGCTGCTGCTGCCGCCTTTAACGCGGGATCAGACCACTGGTCCTGGAGCGACAAGTGATGCTGCTGCTGCATATGCTGCTGTTGCTGCTGTTGCTGCTGCTGCTGCTGCTGCAGGTGCTGCTGCAGCAGCTGCTGCTGCTGCGTATGAATACCCTGCAGCAGCGGGAAGCCCAGGTGATGCCCCCCCCAGGTAGCTAGCTGCAGCAGCGCGTCAGCTAGCAGCTGCGGCTGCAGCAGCAGCAAGTTCGTAAGGGAACGAACAGCAGCAACCCAGAGCGCAGACAGCAGCGGGGAGCAGCAGCAAACAGCAGCAGAAGACAAGGCAGATTTCAACCCCTCACACGTCAGCAGCTCGGTGAAGTGTATAGCCACTCTGCTGAGCAGCAGCGCAGCAGCAGCAGCAACAGCAGGCTCAGCTGGCAGCAGATCAAGCGACAGCAGCACAGCAGCAAAGGGCTTGGGTATTCCATTGAGCGTCTCTATAACTGGGTTCAGCAGCAGCAGCAGACAGCGCACGCTGCTGCTGTCTTTTGTATGAAACGACTGCAGCAGCAGCGCAGCAAGAACACACAAAAACTGCTGCGCTTGCTGCTGCCCGCATACCTCATACAGCAGCAGCAGATCCCCCAGCACGTCTCCTGCTGCTTCCATGAATGCTCCCCACTCCCCCCCCCCATCATCTTGCACCCACAAACTGCTGCTGCTGCTGCTGCTGCTGCTGCTGCTGCTGCTGGTTCGGGCGTGCTGCAGCATGCTAGAGACGCAGCAGGGAGCTATCGTTGCTGTCAGCTGCTGCAGCAGCTCCTGCTGCAGCACACCGTCCCGCCGCTGCTCCTTCACCTGGTACCAAAGCCCAGACATTCGGATCCATGTGAGGGGGTTAGCTCGCCAGAGCAGCAGCAGCAGCCGTGTTGCTGCTGCTGCTGCTGGCTGCAGCAGCAGCTGCGGGTGACCCTCTATCAACGTCAGCAGCACACCACCCCACCGCACCAACAGAGCCGTCTTGCTGCTGCGTGGCTGCTGCTGCAGCTCTTCTAGGTTTGCTTCTATATCCTGTGATAGTAAGTCAAATGTAAGCAGCAGCTGCTGCAGCAGCAGCAACTCTGCTGCTCCTGCTGCAGCAAGTGCACACTTGCTGCTGTTGTTCTCTTCCCCTCCTCCACCCCCACCACCTGCTGCTGCTCCCCCTCCTCCTGCTGCTGCTGCTGCTGCTGCTGCACCTGCACCTGCTGCTGTCTGTACACCCCACAGCCCTGTAAACGCAGGCAGCCGAGGGATAGCAGCAACTAAACAATCAGCGAGAGCAGCATCAGCAGCAAAAGGAGACAGAGCAGCAGCAAGAGCAGCACACAACTCATCCACACAAACTTCGTGTGTCTCTGCTGCTTCCAGCCAGACCGTCAGCAGCTGCAGCGCCCCCTCTCCGCACCTAGCAGCTATACCGCTGCTGCTGCTGCTGCTGCTGCTGCTGCTGCTGCTGCTGCTGCTGCTGTTGCTGTTGCTGCAGGCTGCTGCAGCAGCAGCAAGCACGTGGCTGCCGAACTGCAGCACTGCAGCACGAGCAGCAGCAACAGCACGCCCATAGAAACCATCCAGGTAGCGGCGGCCCCCACGAGAAGGAATGTCAGCAGCACGAGCTGCAGCAGGAAAAGCAGCAACTGCTGCTAGACAAACCCATAAACACCAATCTAATGTTATATTGCTGCTGCTGCTGCTGCTGCTGCTGCTGCTGCTGGGTTGCTGCTGCTGCTGCTGCGCGTCGACACACAACGAACGGCTGCGACTCCCAAAATATATTATCTCAGCTAAAGGGGCATACAGCTCTTGCTGCTGCTCCTGCTGCTGCTGCTGCTGCTGCTGCTGCTCTTCTTCCTGCTGCTGCTGCTCTTCATCGTCGTGCTGATGACGCTGCTGCAGCTCTGCTGTTCTCTGGAAAGCAAGAGCAGCAAGACAGTGCCCCAGTCTGCCCCCGACAGCATAGTTCAGCTGCTGCTGCTGCTGCTGCTGCTGCTGCTGCTGCTGCTGCTGCTGCTGCATGCGTATGATTGCGTCAAACAGAGCAGCAGCAAGCTCATCCTTGTGCTGCTGCGGCAGCGACCAGCCCTCATTCTCTATCTTCCAGGCGAGGGTCTGTGCACCTACAAGCTGCAGCTGCTGCTGCTGCTGCTGCAGCAGCAGCAGAGACGCAGCCCATGCAGCAGCAGAACGTTGGAAGTGCAGCAGCCAGGTGTTTGCTGCTGCTTTCTTCTGCGGGTCGGGGTCGGTGTACAGACACTCCAGCTGCTGCTGCAGCAGCAGCACGAGCTGCTCTGGGTCCTGTGTCTCACCGCCTGCTGCTGCTGCTGCTGTTGCTGCTGCTGCTGCTGCTGCGTCAGATGCTGCTGCTAACGAGCAGCAGCCCGGGGGCCCGCCCTGGGGGTCCATAGCGGAGAAAAGAAAAGGACAGCAGCAGCAGCAGCCGCTGCTGCTGCTGCTGCAACACCAGCTGCTGCTGCAGCAGC